GCCTGTTCCTCCCTGCGGTGAGTTGGCTGATTCCCTTAACAAAGGCTGCAGCTCTGACCAGGTGGCCACTTCCTTGCTTGTGCCCTCAGGTCTAGGAGAGGTAAAGCCTTCCTGCTGTTGTTAGCTCTGGGATGCTTTCCAACCCCTTATAGGTTTCCCTTCACTGCTCACATCTCTGTAAATGGTCCTTCTTCAAACTCTCCTTAGTTTGAGATGCATTTGCTTCCTTTTAGGACCCTGATCACATAGACACCGCTGCTGTTTCCACTGTATATACATCCTTGGGGCCATCCCACCTCCCCTTGAGCATCACCGATAATTCTACTCTGTCCTATTAAAGTAGAGCTGACACAGTGCCTATGGCAGTGTGGGAGGGAGCATCTCTCCCTGCTCTGTGTCACTCTGTTAGAGGGATCTCAGCAATGTACTGTTTGTGCTCCAATGTCTTCTAGAATTTTAGAAGTAGCTCTTTTTTGACCAGCATGAGGCTGAAGGAGCCTGAGAGGTCTGGGTCTGGGAGCTCGCTATGCCACTAAATGGCTGTGTGCCCTTGGACAAGTCATTCTCATTTTTAGGCCTCAGTTTCCTCACCTGTAGCACAGGGGTTGGACTTAGTGTTGTGTGTGTGTGTGTGTCGGTCATTTTCATTTATCGTTTTTTCTTAAATTGAAATATAGTTGATTTATAATGTTATGTTAGCTTCAGGTATACAGCAAAGTGATTCAGTTATATATATATACTTTTCATATTCTTTTTCATTATAGCTTATTACAAGAAATTGAATATAGTTTCCTGTGCCATACGGTAGGACCTGTTGCTTTTCTGTTTTATATATAGTAGTTTGTATCTGCTGATCCCAAACTCCCAATTTATCCCCCCCACCTTTTTCCCCTTTGGTAACCATAAGTCTGTTTTCTATGTCTGTGTGGACTCAGTGATTCTTAAACTGCCCTGGGCCCCCAGTCTCACTTTAGCCAGAGTAGCTCCTGTTTAATCTATTTTTAGAATTTGGACTTTCGTGAAGATTTCCTTTAAAGCATGGATTCCATGGCTTTAAAAATGCTTGACAACAACTGGACTAGGTAATTCTAAGGTGCCTTCCAGTCCCAACTTTTTTTTTTTTTTGGCTGTACCGCACGGCTTGCGGGAACTTAATTCCCCAACGAGGGATTGAACCCGGGCCTTTGGTAGTGAAAGCACACAGTCCTAACCATTGGACTACCAGGGAATTTCCAGTCCCAACATTTTTGAGCATAAAATCAACCTTGCCTTCCTAACCACTGTGCCAGGGAGGGTCTGGTTCCAAGAATTAATGGAAAACTGATGGTTAAAGCCTGTCTCCTGTCAGGCTCTGTCATGGCAAATCTACCATGACCCAGTAAATCACTTTGCTCCACCCCATCCATCTTCGGCATCTTCTCACTTATTTCTCATTTACTTCTGCCACTCTTCCTAGGCGAGAGGAAAGAAAAAACTGATTTTAAACCAATTGCATAAAATGCAAACCACCCCAGCAAACAAAAATGTGGAAAAGATGGCAGCTTTAAATGAACTGACTCCCGAGGTTTGCAAAGGCTTCGTCCGCAATAATGGAAGCTGGCAGCCCATTGGTGGTTTGTCCCAGACACTTGGTGCTGGAGAGAATTATAGAGCGGTGATTAATAGCTTGTGTAGCATCTGAGCCTGCTTCCTGATTGTGGGGAATCTGCCCTTGCGTGAGCCCTGTCTGGGTCTGAAGGCTGAAAGGCTGAAAACTCCCCTTGATCTCTGGCAGCAAGAGCACAGCCACATGAACTCAGTACAGCCAATCAGATTCTCACCTGAGAGTTTCAATACAGACTGAACAATATAATTGGAATTCCTTTTGATGGGGTTGATGGCTAAGGCGTCCAGTGTCTGGTGGCATCGGTGGTACCCGGGCCAGCAGTGGCCACAGTGCAAGCACAGAGCCCAGCATCCAGCTACCTACAATCCATTTTGAAAGAGGCAAGATATCACAGATGACGTTACAGGATGTTAGTTTTGCCAGAGAGTTTCTGTGTCTTGCCAGCCTGTGCCTTTTCCAACATTCCCTTTCTTTCTGTAGTCTCTGAGTTTCCCTGACACTCAATCTCCTTAAGCCTCTCCCAAGGGATTCCTCTCTCAGGCTGCCTACCCTCCATCTCCTCAGATGTTTAGGCAGCGCTGGTTGCCTCTCAAAAGAGGAAGCAATACCTCTCCTGCCTTTCTCCCCACCCCCATCCTCCTTCTGCCCATTTTATGCCCCAACTGTGCCAATGCAGGGCAGTTGGTACTCTTCTCCTTTTGGAAATGAAAACCCCAGGGTGAGTCTTCCTGACACACGTGCGTGTGTGCTGGGGGTGAGGACTGATTCATAAATCTTGCTTGAAGGAGAAAGGCCTTTGAGCAACCTGGCAAAGGTTGGCTTTCATTCACTTCCTTGTCACCCCCTTTCTGAACACCTCTTCTGCTCCAGGCCTGCGGTAGACCCCATGGGGATACTGAGGAACAAATGCTTATATAAAATAAGGAAAAAGATGTGGGACTTCGAATTGGGAGACCTGGGTTGGGACCCTGCTTTGGTCACTCACTCTCTGCGAGAATTGTGTAGGTTCCCTAACCTCTCTGAGCGTCAGTTTCCTTATCTGTAAAATGGGCTCATGAATGCACATACTCTATGGATTGTGCGGAAATTCAAGTCAGAATGTATTTAAGCATTCATCCAAATCACCGGTTCATAGGAGACCTCCCATAAAGGTGTGTTGCTGTCAATTGAAAGCCCCTCAGATGACGGAGCCCCAAAGGAAAAGGTGCCCCCCCTCCATCCACCCTGAGTGGTGGGGGAGGGGCACTTGGGAGTCGAGGTACCTGGCAAGGTGGGAAAAATTACTTGCAATTACATCGTATGTTGATTTCTATCAGCCAAGTATCTTCTTACATTTCTTGACAAGAATGCTTGTAAAATAGAGTGGGCAGGGATGTTGAATCACTAGGGCCATTGACATAAGAGAGGGTGGCTGGAGGGAAGAGGGTGCCAGAGGAGAAAGTGCTAAAAGGAAGAGCGGAAAATGAGCTTTACTCACAATTCAGTGTTGTCTAAATCGCCCCTGAGTCCGGTTTCCCTGTAGCCCTAAGGTGGGGGTGGGAACCACACCGGGAGGATTGAGGTGGGAGCTGCATGGGCGCTGGTGTCAGGAGACCTAAGTTCCAGTCTAGTCTCTGACCTTTATGAGGTAGACAAACTGAGAGAGTCACTTCAGCTCTCTGAGACTTTGTTTCAGGTACCGAGACGTACGGGAAAATGATAGCACCTGCCTCACGAGGGTGGAAACAGTGAACAAGTGAGCGACTTTTTTTTTAACATGTTATTGAGCTATAATTCGCAGAGTGTAAAATTCACCCTTTGAAAGGATACACTTTCATTGTTTTTCATGTATTCAGAGTTGTACAGCCATCATCACTATCTCATATTAGAACAATTTTATCACCCCTAAAGGGACCCACATCCGTTATCAGTCACTCCCCATTCTCCCTCCCAAGAGACTTATTTTTAGACTGTTTAACGTTGTACCCATTTTGATTTCTAACAGACAGTTGGTTAGTAGGAACTAGTCTGCTTCTAAGTCATATCACGAGTATTTATCAGATTTAGTAAAAACTGTCTTGAGAACTGTGTCAGGAGTAAGCTCAGCAGGGGAATTTTAAAGAGAAAAAAGCTTAAAGACCACAGTTTATTTCTGTCTCACAGAATATCCCAGGTAACTCCAGGTAGCTCACTGTCCATCTTCTCTAGGATACGGCCTTCTTCCTCAGGATCTGAAATGTCAACTGGAGCTCCAGCCACCATATCCTTGTTCCAGATAGCAGGATGCAGAAAGGGATGAACATTGCATGCCGTTGGCCTTGAAGGAAGAGTCTCAGAAGTTCCACACAACACTTCTACTAACATCTCATTGACCAGAACTCAGTTATATGGCCACACAGAGCTGCAAGGAAGGCTGGGGTATTTAGCCTTATTCCAAAGAGCCAATGAAAACTGGGATTTGCATTATTATGAAAGAAGAGGAGAACAGTATTGGTGTATGTATCAGTCAGCAAATGCTATAATTATTGTGCATAACAAGTCACACAAAACTCAATGGCATACAACAATGAGCATAGACCTTTCTTGCTCTCAGGTCTGTAGTTGGGCTGGGAAAGCTCTGCTTGAGGCTACAAATCTCCTGGGTTAGGATGAAGGCTTCAAATTGGCTCTCGTCTACATTCCTCCATATTTCCCTATGACCAGCCCTACTAGGGCATGTTCCTTTCATGGCAAATGGCAGGAGCCCAGGAAGTTGAGCAGAGACACATGATGCTTCCTGAGCCCTCTTTTTTTTTTTTTTTTTTTTTTGCAGTACGCGGGCCTCTCACTGTTGTGGCCTCTCCCGTTGCCGAGCACAGGCTCCGGACGTGCAGGCTCAGCGGCCATGGCTCACGGGCCCAGCCGCTCTGCGGCATGTGGGATCTTCCCGGACCGGGGCACGAACCCGCATCCCCTGCACCGGCAGGCGGACTCTCAACCACTGTGCCACCAGGGAAGCCCCTGAGTCCTCTTGAGTCCCTCTTGCCCACACTCCATTGATTAAAGCAGGTCACGTGGCCATGCCAACATCAAAGGCAGAGGTATAGTCCATTCACACTAATGCATACCACTGCAAAGTCACATGTCAAAGACTGTGAGAGTAAAATTCTAATTCAGGAAGGGTCTGAAAAATGGTAAACAATGATTCATCCTATGACAGAGACCAACCAACTTTGCCAGGAAATGCAGTATCCGTGATTCTAGTCCCCTAAGACCTCCCAGGAGCCTACCTATGCTGCTGTTTCTTTAACTGCAGTCTCCTGCTCTAGCTTCCCACTTCTGATGGCCCCATTTTCCAGGTGGGAGAACAAGGCTAGCCCAGCCTCCCATATAAGCTTTGTAGGCCACAATTCCTAGTGTCCGGACTCACCAGCCACCCTGTCACCGTTTCCTCAGAGGTCTTGCCAAGAGAAGCAGGGTCTCCACGAGATTCAGGACTCCTCCATGTGGAACCAGGCTGCCATTTTCCATTACTGCCATTCCCAGGGGCCCAGCCAAGGTAAGATCCGTTTCTCCTGTTCAGTCCCCCAAACACGAAAGCTTTCTCATGCTGCTTTCTCATAGAATAAGGGCTGCTGATACATCTGGCTGACAGTGAAGGTCCAGTTAGCCAGGTCCTCTAATCACAGAAAAGCCTGTTTATCTTTTCTGGGGTAAGACGGAGTCTACGGAAGTGAAAATTCAGAACTCAGATTAGCTTTTCAAAGGGTGACCTTTCCATGGTTTACATTCTCTCAATAAATCAACCTGCTAAAATGTAATTTGTTGAGGCAAAATTCCGAAAGGTTTGGTCAAACTTTTGGCATAAATAACCTTCTGTGTATTTCAGTATTGCCACTCTGCTTAGTCTATTTCCATTAGTAATGCAAATAGCATTTTCTGGTGTACAGCCCAAAGTTAGCACGTGCTCAGAAGTTGGTTAAAACAGCCATTTTCAATAAAGGCTGTGACCTCTCTGCTACCACCTTCTTCCTGTGGAGATGTTTTTGGTGTGGTCTTTGCAAGCTGATTTATAAACGTCCTTTCAGAAAGGTAATCTAAGAAACAAGCCACATGTTTCTTGTAAACTTAAATATCCACCTATTTTATGGCCCAGGAGTTCTACTCCTAGATACTTTTACCTTAGACAAATGAAACCGATATCCAACCCCCACACAAAGAAATCTACATAATGGTTTATAGCAGCTTTATTCTTAGTAACCAAGTGCTGGAAAAACCTAATGGTCCATCAGCAGATGAATGGATAAACAAATTGTGGACTACACATACAATGGAAAACTCTTCTGCAATAAAAAGTAAAGGATTACCAATATACAAAACAACACAGATGAATCTCACAGACATGCTGAGTGAAGGAAACCAGACACAGAAGACTACATACTGTATGATTCCATTTATATGACACAGTCTTAGTTCATCTGGGCTGCTATAACAGAATACCATAGACTGTGTGACTTATAAACAACAGAAATTTATTTCTTACAGTTTGGAGGCTGGGCAGTCCAAGGTCAAGACACCAGCAGTTTTGGTGTCTGGTGAGGGCTTTCTTCTTGGTTCAGAGTTCCCATCTTCTCGCTGTGTCTCACATAGTAGAAGGGGTGAGGGATCTCTCCAGGATTCCTTTTATAAGGGAACTTATAAGGGCTCCACCCTCATGACCTGATCATTTCCCGAAGGCCTCCTCCTAATACCATCAGCATATGAATTTTGGAGGGACACAAACATTCAGCCCATAACAGACACTCGAGAAAAGACAAAACCAATCTACGGTGAAAGAAGAGTTGGGATTGATTGGAAAAGAACAAGAAGGAACTTTCCAGGTGATAGAAATGTTTTATGTCTTGATTGGAGTAGTGGTTCCACCTTGTAAATATTTGTCAAAACTCATCAAACTCTGTAGGTTAGATCTGAGCATTGCACTGTGTGTAAATTATACCTCAATAAAAAATATTTTTTAAAAATCGGGCTATTTCCTCAAATGGTCTAAGAGCAAACTTAGGAGATCTCTGTCCTGAACATTAATGGAAACATCGATGACCTTCCAGCTGGAGAGGCAGTTGGGGGAACGTGTGGTCGGCAGCCAACTGGAAACAGTTTCATTTTGTATCATCAGTTAATTATTTATGAAAGCGTTTCTGAAAATGGAGAATGAGGTCCATCCAATTAGGTTCTTTAAAAAAAAAATTATTTATTTATTTGGCTGCGCCTGGTGTTAGTTGTGGCAGGTAGGCTCCTTAGTTGCTCCTTAGTTGTGGCATACAAACTCTTAGTTGCAGCATGCATATAGGGTCTAGTTCCCTGGCCAGGAATTGAACCCGGGCCCTCTGCACTGGGAGCGCAGAGTCTTATCCACTGCACCACCAGGGAAGTCTCCCCATTTAGGTTCTTAAAATCATTTTACAAATGGCTCTCAGGTTCTGCTCAGTAAACTCAAAATGTCATTACTGGTGACTTTTATGTCAGGGTCCCATTATGCTCCCTTGCTGAGGAGCAGGGCTTGTCCAATCCCTCAGACCTGGGGACTGGAGAGATGGTGACATTTTGGTCACAGCCCCATGTGAATCATGAGATTCTGAAGGTGCCACAGAATTGAAGGATCCTGTTAGCTGGGGGTCAGGGTGCCTGGAGTGAGATTTTGTTCTTCCAATAACCTACACTGACCAATAAATCTGTCCCCAAAAGAATCTGAAAAAGAATAGATACATGTATATGTATAACTGAGTCACTTTGCTGTACACCTGAAACTAACACGACATTGTAAATCAGCTACACTCCAATATAAAATAAAAAGTAAAACACAAAACAAAACAAAGCAAAAAAAAGAAAAATCCATCCCCAAGCCATGCTGACACCCAGCCGGAAAGAAACAGTGCGGTGACCTTGGACAAGGAGTTTGTTACCTCTGCTCCAATCTATCCAGGGCCTCAGGCTCCTAGAACAGTTCGTTCATTATGACATTCCCTTGACCAAAATCCTTTATAATCCCTATGCTACTGTCACTGCCAGGAAAGGCGGAAATCTCCCCTGGGCTGAAGGCTTTGCTTTGTTTGATGTGACCTGAGACTGACTCAGGCCGTAAATTTTCCCCAACAGGCTCAATAGGACAAGTTCTTCTGGCAAAGAGCTATACCGAAAAAAACAACATACCAACCAAAAACAGTGTAGAAGCTGCAAAGGAAGCTGGAAGGTCCTTTCTTTCCTTTTTTGTTAAATTGTCTTTGGAATGCGGTTCGCTTCCCACCCTGCAGAGGTGAGAAGAACCTCCCCATCAGGGGAGACCATTGCTGAGTGCTGCCGGTTGCTGGTTGGTCCCAGCCAGTCTCCTGTTCTCCCTGCCTCCTGGGATGATGGCGTACAATGTACTTCAAGGGCTTGGCTAAGGGAGGGCCCCCTCCATTCTTTTTTCTCCCAGCCACCATCTTCTTGGTCTCATTCAGAACGCAGAGGCATGTACACACAACCACACCTCCACACCACATCCATGGCACACAATGCAGAAACACACACACCACACACCATTCTTATGCTACCCCCCACCCCACACACACATACAGACCACACATAAACACACATCACACACATATAGCGCGTATCTAGACACCACACACACACATGTTCACTCACTTGACTCTTGTCAACTCTTGTTCTGGGCAGGAACGGAGTTGGTACCAGCTTTTGTCCTTCCACAGCCGCCAGTGTGCTTCTCAATCCCCAGGTCACAGGGAAATGTCACCAGGGGCGGATTGTCTGTCTCCCCATCTTGACCATGAATAATTTGCTGATATGCACTGATGGTGCTATTTTAGGCAACAGCAGACAAGTTGCCTTTCCAGTCGTTCAGCCCAATCGCTCCAATTCCGTATCATAAACAACGCTAGAACACACCAAGGTGCTATTATCAGTTGTTAGGTATTGAAATAATTCTGTATCGATTTGTACACACTTGCTGTCCCTAGACCCCTGAAGCCCACACTCCCCAGATTCTGTAATAAAGTGTTACTGCTTTACATATCAAGGACCAGATCAGATTGTGGTCCCATGGTTGTGATCAGCTGGGGTCCATGATATACCTGTTATCTGTATTTTGACTGTCATTCCTGTCCTCAGGGAATGGGTGAAAGGTAGCTTTGCCTGCTTTGAGGTCTTTTATGATGGTCAAACTTATGTTTTCTAAATATGGATTAAGCCTTCCCTGGTGGCGCAGTGGTTGAGATTCCGCCTGCCGATGCAGGGGACACAGGTTCTTGCCCCGGTCCGGGAAGATCCCATATGCCGCGGAGCAGCTGGGCCCGTGAGCCATGGCCGCTGAGCCTGCGCGTCCGGAGCCTGTGCTCCGCAATGGGAGAGGCCACAGCAGTGAGAGGCCCGCGTACCGCAAAAAAAAATAATAAAAAATAAACATGGATTAAGCCCATCTCTGTGAATGGAGCCATAGGTGGATACACAGCAGGATATGGCCCAGTGGGTAGCAGTGGAAAGAGAGTCCCAGGAGAGACCTAGACCAGCCAGACCTGCTCTCTAGGTGGGGCAGACGTGGGGCACCGCGAGGGCATCCAGTCCAGCAGACAAACAAGGGGTCTGGAGGGCGGGCTCTGGGCCAGCAGTCAGCACCGTGCAAGACGGGGCTCCACTGCCAGGCGAGCACATGCTGAGAAGGGCTCCCGTGAGCCCAGAGAGCGCGCACACGGTCCAAGGTGGAGACAGTGAGGGAAGCGGGGCCGAGCAGTCATTAGTTAATTCCTTCTCCATCAAGTATGTATGGGCGCCTATGTGCCAGGCACTGTGCTAGCCACTCAGGATACTCAGGGAACAAGCTTAACCCTGGCGGGTGGGGGGAAACGAATGCAGCCCTTATGCTAACAGCTGCGTAGACAGAGACATAAAAAGGCAATTCCAATCCAAAGCGATGAGCCCTACTATAGGGGAAGTTCTGTAGGAGCCCAGAGTTGCGGCACTAATTCAGACCCAGGGCACTCAGGAAGTGCTTTCCCCGAGGGCATGTGGTCTAAGCTGAGACCCCAACAACACGGAAAATTGTTCAAGTAAAGAAGGATGGAGAGGAATGAGCAGTAGGTGCAAAGACCCCGAGGCAAGAGAGAAATGGGTTTATTCAAAGAGTGGAAAGTAATTTCTCACATCTGGATGCTTGGAGCACACAGGGGAAGGGGTGGCCCACGGTGCTGGCATTGATCAGGAGGAAAGCACCCCGGACAGGCAGGTTTCCAAGGGCAACAGAGTGAGTCAAGAGCAAGGGCTCCGGGATAAGCCTGCCTGGATTGAATCTTGACTCTGCCACTTCCTAGCTGTGTGACCTTGGGAAGGTCCTTTGGCCTCTTCGACCTCAGTAGAATCGTTGTAATGCTCACTTCTGGAGGATGGAGACAGATAATGCATGCAACGCACCTAGAACTACGTGGCATGCGATGTGTCCATTCACATCAGCCATAATTGGGCCCCTAAACCCCAAGTCAGGAGTGGGTCCAGAAAAGGGGGTAGGCTGGGCCTGCAGGCGTGGACTTACATCTAATCAACTGGCTACTACCTTAAAACAAATGCTCAATGTCAAAAAAAAAAAAACATTCAGTGTTATAATCACCAGGATAGCCACAGTTCTCCTTCAAATAGCATTTTAAAAGTTGCAATGTAATTTCCACACATTGGCTTCTTGAAGTCTTCAAACTTATCCTGTGAAGGAAGCAAAGTGTCCTTCTTTTTAGAGAAAATGAGATGGAGGCTTTTCACCTGGAGAGTCCAGGGTCTGGAGTGGACCAGGTCCTCTGATCCTTCCATCTCACCTGGGCTGGTAAGCTCGATGCCTTCTCCCACTCCCCCTGCCTCTGTGCAAAACCCAAAACAAGGACAACAATTCGCCCCTTTCAAAGGACAGCTTGTAGGGCAACACTACTGTGGGCACACCTACTGGCCCTTAGGGCTGTTCCCCAGAGGGCATATCAGCCTCCTGGGAGGTCCCCAATTTGCCGGGACATGGCTGTGTGGTGGCTGGACGCATGAAGGATAGTCCCTCCAACTACAACCTCACGTCTCCTCTTTAGAGCTGCCCCTGACCCAGCAGCTGCCCCTTGTGCCTTCCAGCTGTGGCTGGTACACGTCAATCTGATCTCAGCAGTCTTCTCAAGGAACGACATTCTTGGTCCAGCCCTTAGGATCAATGGGGGTGTAATTCTTTCATATATTAGTTTTATCTCCCACCTTAACTCCTTGGAGTGAGGAATTATGCCCTCTACTTTTCTGGTGTGTACATGGCCTCCAGCATAGCGCCAGACACATGAGGTTACTCAATAACCCCTTTGTAATTACACATTTATAATGGGCAAACATACACTGACAGGTGTGTGTTCCTATATTGTGTTGTCAAGGGCAGTTCTCAGAAGGTTGTTTGGGAGCTGTGAAAAATGAGCAAAAAGAGTTGGACTTATGCAATAATTTCATAGCCTTGGTCAAGGATGGGTTAGTAAAAGGAGAATTTATTGTAAGGATACAAGGTAAACTCAGGGAACACACCTGCAGAAGCCAGGACTCACAGGACCTGGTGGCTTTTTTCTCCACCCTCTCTCTCTCTCTCTTAATCCCTCCCTCCCTGAGTTCCTTCATCTCTTCTTCTCTTAACTTTTGCTTCAGGCTTTGAATATCTCCTGCTTTGTAATAATAATTCATTGTTCTGAGTTACCATTCTACCCCAAACAGCTTCAGCCCTCCATGACCTTACAACTCCAGTGGCCCACAATACAACACAATAGATTGGTTTCTGTGTCTCTTACTTTGAATGCCCGAGAATCTAATTGGCTCAGCTTGGGTCAGTTCTTCCCTGTGGTCCAATCGGTCATGACCAAGGGTGAGTCTCCCAAGAAAATATGGCCACTCAGGCTGCCCCCTTTTCTGGAGGGGTGCAGAGCACTTCCCAAGTGAAGGGTCTTTGGGAGATGTGCATCCCAAATCTGCTGACCACACCCAATTCCCAACCATTCAGGAGCCAACATTCCACTCTTCCTCCACGTGGACATTGGCCTAAATCCACTCATTTCAGCAAGCATTTTTGGGGCTATCCCGTACCCTCCCAAAACACTTAAGGCCCTGGAAAAGGAAATAAAAATTTGAGATATAAGAATCCTGACCTCCAAGATCTGTTTCTAGTGGTAGAGACCCAACCACTGGGCCCAAGGGCTAGGTAAAAGTTAGACTATGGAGTAATTTTAGGGGCAGAAATGTGAGAACACAAGATTGAAAGGTGAGCCAACAAGAGTGCATCAAAATCAGCAGCTATCTTCAACTATCAGATTGGCAAATATTGAGAAGAATGATGACACCCAAATTTGGCAGGATGTGAGGAAACAGGCACTATCACCTACTGCTGATGGGAGCAAAAAAAATGGAGTGATACTGCTGTAGGGTAGCTGGCAACCTCTACCGAGATGGTAAATGTGCATCCCCTGTAACCCACCAATTCCAGGTCCAGGAAAGATGAGAGCCAGGAATTGTTATAAGACCATGGGGAAGCTTGGATGAATTTGATGACATGAGCCTACACTCAGCTGGATTTGTACCCTATCTACCGTGCATGCTAACAAGGGTGGGATGACCCTGCTCCTAACCCCATATAAATGGCATAATTGAGACAGCCCATAACTTTTCCTGATGGGTCATGCTTTTCTCAAATGAAAGCAGGACATTAGAGCAGACATTGCAAATATGGTATAAACCAATTATCATGAGTTGATGACTGTACTCTTTCCCATTGGCTTTGGACACTGCCTCAGCACCCTACACTGTCCTTCCTAATCAAGATAAAACCTTTATTCCATTTTTTATTTATAGCTGCTTGGTCCATCCCTGTCCATTGCCCTGATCCCTGGACAATCCTGTGGGATTTTGCAAGTCAAATGGCACTATATTTGTGAGAATATTTGTTACGTTTTTTTTTCTTTCTAACCAGTCAAGTGGGCTTGATGCTGCTGATCAAGTTTTCAAGTCATTATTCAATTCCCCCTTCCCTGAAAGGGAGGCCCTGCAAGGAAGACCACACAGGCTGATACAGGTAGGGTCATGGAGGCCAGGGAAGTGATTCTAGGAGCGTTTCTTACCTGCAGCCTGACTCCCAATGCTGCTAAGTCAGGCTTGTTTCTGTGTCTCTAACTTTTCCAAAACTCAGAGGAAAGTTATTGTGGTCACATCAATCACCCTATGATATGTTGACCTAAGAAAATTTAATTTCAAAATGCCACATGTTTTCAGACCTAGAAACTCAACTGAAATTGTTTCTGCTTTGAATTGCATAATTTACTTGAAAATTGCAGACTACCTATCATTTGCTCTGAAAGCTTTATATCAACCTTTGACCCAAAGCACCAAAGTTCTGGAGAAAATGATGAAATGAATGGTACCATCTTCATTAACACAGCACCATGCCTGAAGCAGAAAAGGTGCTCCATCGATGGTAGCAATGTTCATCCTCCTTCATCAATTTTTGACAAGTAAATATTTTCAACTTTTATATCTAAGCCAAAGGAGTTAGAAGAGACAGTTAACAGTCACACTTGTACTCAAGATTCCTGTAGGAAGATTTTTAAAAGATTTTGATTACTATCCAAAGTTTCTCAATCATGGAACTTTTGACATTTGCGGGGAGATCATCTTTGTTACAGGGGAGCTATCCTGTGTATTGTAGGTTGTTTAGCAACATCCTGGCCTCTACCCACTAGATGCCAGTAGCACCCCCTTCTCAATTGTGACAACCAAAAAGGTCTTCAGATACTGCGAAATGTCTCCTGTGGGGAAGGAAGTTACAAAATTGCCCCCAGTTGAGAGCAACTGATCATTTCCAAATCATCTGTATGAACTGTAACAGAAAGGAACAAA